CCTGTGAAACCTAACCTCTCATAGCTAAGGATATGCGACTACTCTGTGTTCGATCACCGTTGTCTCCGTAGGATTGCTCGTATCCGGTGACAACACCTTGTAAGTAATTCTGAGGTATGAGAGCGTGTTTGGGCATAATGAAGATTATTAACTATATGAAGTCATCCAACCTCGCCTGGTTAACTAGTTCACTAGTTACTAGCCGGTCCTAAGCCCGGGTAAAGAGCGAAGGTTGGGCATAGGGCTAGCAACCCTACCCCGTAAAACAAATCTAACCGCTAAAGAAACTTCAAAGCACAAACAAAATATGAAAAATGAAAACAAACTTATTCCCCGCTGGAATCGGAGAGGCGAAATGACGCAGTTGGTGAAAGCCTAGGGAAGCCAATTGGCCGATGTGTCTTCTCTCCCTAGATGAAAGCGAAAGTAAACGTGGGGACATGGAATGTCCGCACGATGTTTGAACCCAGTAAGGCAGCCCATATTGCAAACGAGATGAGAAGGTATAACATCGAAATGCTTTGGATTTGCGAAAGCAGATGGAATGGGAGTGGACTCTCCAAACTGTTAACTGGAGAGTCGATAATGTACTCCGATATTGTCACCCAGACGACAACCACGAGCACACTGAGGGAGTGGCTATCATGATGTCCCCAAGAGCATCGAAGACTTTCATGCAGTGGGAACCAATCTCCTCCAACATCAGGATCATGACAGCAAGGTTCAACTCAAAAGGAAGGAAGGTCACAATCATACAATGTTATGCACCTACAAATAATGCAGAGCAAGAGAAAAAGGAGGAATTCTACAGACAACTTCAATCAACACTGGACAAGACGTCAGTTGGCGATATGAAAATTCTAATGGGCAGGGTGACATGAATGCCAAACTGGGAGGGGACAACACAGGAAGAGAACTAACCATGGGTCGAGAGGCGCTAGGTGAAATGAATGAGAATGGAGAATTGTTTGCAGAATTCTGTGCATTCAACGATTTGGTGATTGGAGGCAGTGTGTTCAGGCACAAAGATATCCACAAAGCGACATGGATTTCACCAGATGGACACACTAAAAATCAAATCGACTTTATCTCAATCTCAAGAAAATGGAGACGCAGTCTACTGAACACAAGGTCAAGAAGAGGAGCAGATGTAGGTTCACACCACTCACTATCTATCCAGTGCAAAGAACCTTCCAAATCAAGTTAAAAGCCTTCAAGGAAGCTGGTGATAGACCGCAGTTCAAGTACAACACTCGGAAACTGAAGGATGAAACTACAAAGGAAATCTTCACGCCGGTCAGCCATCAAGACAAAATGGGAGATATCGAGGAGCATCCCTGAAGAAACCTGTGTGGAAGAACACTGGAAGTCTTTGAAAGAGATGTGGACAGAAACCTGCACAGCCGTATTAGGAAGGAAGAAGGTGGAAGACAAGGAATGGATCTCGACGGATGCCTGGAAGCTGGTAAAAGAGAGGAGGATGGTGAAGCAGAAGATAAACCAGTGCAAGGATGAACGACGAAAAGAGGAACTGAGTACAATGTATAAAACACTGGACAAAGAAGTGAAGAAGAGTGCACGCAAAGACAAAAGACACTTCTACGAAACACTGGCAAGTGAAGCAGAACAGGCTGCAGGTAGGAGAGATAGAAACCTGACGACATTGTATCAAATAACCAGGTTGCTATCAGGGAGGAGATCAACATAGATGAAACCAATAAAAGATGATGAAGGAAATTTAATTACGAAAGAAGAGAAACAGAGGAAACAATGGGCCGACCACTTCAAGAAGCTCTTGAATCGACCACCACCACCACCTGCACTTCGTCCAGAAATACCATCTGCAGCCGCTGAACTACAAGTGAACATAAATCCTCCAACAAAAATGGAAGTCCTGAACGCCATAAAGCTACTGAAATGCGGGAAAGCAGCAGGACCAGATGGGATCCCGCCAGAAGCACTGACAGCAGACGCAGAGACAACAGTGGACATGCTCACACCACTATTGCAGAAGGTGTGGAAGGAGGAGAAGGTACCTGCCGGTTGATTGGAAGAAGGGCTACCTTGTCAAACTGCCGAAGAAGGGAGACCTCAGTGTTTTCAAGAACTGGTGCGGAATCACTCTCCTGTCCACCCCAAGTAAAATATTAAGCCGCATCATCCTATTGAGGCTTAAAGACGCACTGGATTCAAAACTACGACCGGAACAGGCTGGCCGGCTTCAGGAAGTACAAATCATGTGCAGACCAAATTGCAACGCATCGTATCATCATAGAACAGAGCATAGAATGGCAATCAGCTCTCTACCTCAACTTCATCGACTTTGAGAAGGCCTTTGACAACGTCGACCGAGAAGTAATTTGGAAACTGCTTCAATACTACGGAGTACCGCAAACCTTTATCCGCCTCATTCAACAACTATATGAAGATGCCACATGCCAAGTAATCCACAATGGGAAGCTCAGTGATACTTTTGAAGGGAAGACAGGAGTGAAACAAGGCTGCTGCCTACTATCCCCCATGATATTCCTGATTCTGGTCGACTGGACTGGATCATGCAGCAAACAGTAGGCAGCGAGAAGAGGGGATACGCTAGCTGGACTGCGGAAAAGAACCTAGAAGATTTGGATTTCGCCGATGACTTGTGCCTAATGTCACATAAACTTGAAGATCTACAGGCGAAAACTAACAAGTTGGCAGAAGATGCAAGGCAGTGAAGACGGGACTTCAGGTGATTATAGAGAGGACAGAAGTGATGAAGATACCGCACCACCACCATCAACAACAACAACAAACTCCAATCACCGTCAACGGGAGAAACTTAAAGGAAGTAACCTCCTTCACTTATCTAGGAAGCACTGTTTCAACTACAGGCGGGACGGACGAGGACGTCAAAGTCAGAATCGGAAAAGCAAGACAGGTGTTCATTAGCCTGAAATCAGTGTGGAGATCTTCTGCACTCAGCATGTGGAACAAGATACGGATTTTCAACACCAACGTCAAGTCAGTGCTCTTGTATGGTTCAGAGACTTGGCGCGTCACGAAAGGCATTTCCAATAAACTACAGACATTCATCAACAACTGCCTACGCTGGCTCGCTACTGAAGATCAGATGGATTGCCAGAAAGAATAAGCAACAAGGAACTCTGGGAACGAAGCAACCAAGAACCTATCACGCAACAAATATGCAGGAGGAAGTGGAGATGGATTGGCCATGCACTGAGAAGGCCGACTGAGGACATCACGCGTCAGGCCAGTTACTCGAGTGGGATCCCCATGGGAAGCGACGAGTTGGACGTCCGAGGGTGACATGGAGGAGGTCGTGCGAGGAGGAAATGAGAGCTTCTGGGCTGTCGTGGGACCAGGTTCAAAAGATCTCAGAGAACAGAGGTCACTGGAGGCGTGCTACTGAAGCCCTATGTTCCACTAGGAACCCAAGGGACTAATAATAAATAATAATAATAATAATGAAGTCATCCGGAAACATCGGCTTGGCCACGTATTACGTTTGTCGTCCCAACGGCTTCCACGCCATTCATTGGTTGCTAACCCTGGGACTAAATGGAAGAAGCGGAGAGGTGGTCCATTTATGACGAGCGATAAAGGATAGTTGTATCGGGTTAGCCTTTATTGGTGCATCACAACTCTCTAGGTGAGACCAAAGAGATGACGTAACTCGTTGGCTTGAGGCATTACTAGGCTCGAAACCGAAGCCAGTAGAGGTCATGCCTTAGCTTCCTTCTATCTTCTGCTGCTGAAAAGTAATGAATGTTTCCTTTCGAATGTACCTTACTGGAGTGCCCATCTAATCATTCTGTTCTTATTTTATCCACTTCCCTTCGCTTTATGTCTTCATTGTGTTGTTATATCATTTGGTGTGGCGAATTTCTTGGTGATCTTGCTGTACTACATTTGTGTTCTAGTGGTAATAATACGTGTAGTGCTAAGGGGAATTGGATTAGGTTCGAAAAGGGCCAAGAATGAACAAACTGATGCGTGACTCTGACTCTTAGTCTGAACCGTGTAGCCTATCTGGTCTGGTCATTGAGATGATAGAAATCAATGATTGGAGATCCTTGGTGTTACGGGTGAAAATGAATTACAATGGTTCCTGTGTTCACTCCTTGACGTCTTCCAAAGCTTGTATATTTCCGCTAACCTTCAATTCCAAATTCCTCCTACTTTCGTGCTCTTTTGTCTACCTTGAAGCTATTCCTTTTCTATCGTCTTGTTCTCTGTATGCACCACTTTTGTGACGCCTTTTAAGCCTAACCAATGTTTGCCTATACTTTCTGGAGGTTCAACAGCTAGTTTTGAATTTGGGTAAGTTTGAAATTTAGTTGCAGTACTCAGTGTAACCAATTCGGCTCAATCAAGGCTTCAGTGGAAGAGTGGACGCCACGCTGACCAACAGTTACGATTACACCGGATACCAAGGGGAGCTAAAAATAGGCTAGGATCTGAAAACAGCTTCAGCAGATACTAGTCATTATTAGATTTTTAACTGAAAACATTGGCTACCTAAACAATTTTCCCCTGAACCTAGACTTCCGAACAATACATTTAAATTCCTAGTCAGTACTGAAAACAGTATCTGTCGAACGCTTTCGCTAGAGTTCAAAAGACTGATGGCAGGAGCCATTTTTAACGGTATCCTGATGTGTAGTCAGTCAGTGTATGCACGAATCTATGACGAAGCGACGGCGTATTCTTTATCAGTTAGTTCTTACTTATATCGAATCTTCTAGCCTATCGGAACGAAATATAGAAAAAGGCAGATTATTCCCCAATGAGATATTATTATACAAGCACATCACTTGCGTTCCTAGTGGAACACACGAGTTCAGTCGCGTGTCTCCATTCCACTCCGTTCTCCGCAGCCTTATCAACCTGGCGGATCATACTGGGGATTGATTGGCCTCAAGTCGAATGAGTATCGTTTTCTGAAGCTTACGGCATATAAGGTTGCTGCATTTTGGTTGCGAAGGCGAATTTTCATAAAATAGAGAAGTATGATTGGTTATTTCAGTTGTTGTTAGGGTGGCCTTTAAGGTGAATTGGATGATTCAATCGGACACTCGGACACATGATAGAGTGAAAATGTGAACACTATTCATACTTCTAGTTGTAAACAAATATTATTAAAATCACTGTAACAGTGAAGTGAAGACAGACAGGAAAGTGTATCAAGGTGAGCAGGATTTACTATTCAAGAGAAATCTCCTGGTAAATAGCTGGATAACAAATATCTGTAAAAATAGATGACTAAGTTCAATCAAGGGAACATCAATCTGATAGCACCAACTCGACGACAAAAAGCCAAGTTTTATTTAAATACATTGGCTGTTATCTACCTTTTATACCTTATCCTTATCCTTAGTATTTTATTTCTTGTCAACGCTTTTCTTACAAAGAACAAATCAGTCAAGCAAAATATTCTAAATTAATGTTACTGAAGCTTTAAAATCATCATATTCATAAGCACTAGGAACAAATTACAGTATGTGTTTAGATAATCGGTTGATTTGTCAGCTTGCGTATAGTACTAGACAGAAAAATACAAAAGTAAGCCTATGTAGGGTCACAATCCTAGTCTGTGAGATGGTGGAGTTATAAAGCAAAGTATCGAATTCAGTGAGGTGTAGGTTGTTGATGAGTGTAGACCATGCCTTTCAGGTGTCTACCTGATAAAAAAGGAGGAGGAAAAGGAAGGAACAGAAGCAAAACATAGTAGACGTGATTGTATTGCAACAATCATTCAAGCTGTAATAAGTACAAGTGGAGGAGGGGAGTAAAGAGGAAAACAGGATGAGAGATTTTAAATGTTCCTTATGCAGGGATAGGCTCCAGTTTGACAGATATCGTATGAAACATTGTGCTACTTATTAATAAAACAGTAGTGTGACGAAAATGGAGAACACACGCAAAAGTTGGAAAAGTGTGAATCTTACGGAAATTATTAATGTACTGTAAAATTCAGCCACAGGTTCATATACCTTACTTCTTACATCTTACAAATGCAACCCGTCATCCAATCATATTCTCTTATTCCTATTCGACAGTGGATTGCGATCAACAGTGCTGTTATTTCAACAGTATCACATAACAATCACTGAAAGAATCTGTTCGCACTAAGTATCTTTATAAATTGTTTATTATTAAAAATATAGGATTGTGTGAATTTTATCTGGAAGTATTGTTTTTTGATACTAAGCAATAAATTAAGCGGAATATCTGTACGTGGTGCATTTTGTGACGAATACAAAGATTTTGCAAATACTACAGCTAATTTACTGGTGTGTAGTGAATCTAAGGCGCGTAGAAGTAAACAAGAACACTGGGTTGAAACCTCAGGAAGCATCAACATCTCAATATTCTTTATTTCACTTTAGACGGCTTGACATGTGAAATTTATTTAGGTGCAGTATTTGAAAGTAGCGAAAATAACATTTTGATCCCAATATCTGAACATCATTTTATTTCATCGATTCTCCTTCAGCAGTTCACAATCTAGAATATCAGATAAACAGAAGTCAGTATGCATGTACTGATATTCTAGGTTGTAGACAACCTAAGAGAAAGGCAAGAAATAAAATGGTGTAACGCTTTCCTGCTCTAACTGTTGAACATGTTATTTTCAAGCCTGTAAAGGGGAATATGGGCTAAATGAATGGTGTAATTTACTTCGACATAGTTTATCTGGGTTTGTGAAGTAATAAAGCTTAACTCGGTGGATTAAAAGTATCTAGTTAACTTTCACTAACTTAGTTACAAATCCTCATTATCTCAGCATTTCCATCTAGTTTATCCTTACCATTATATGCTGTTGATTTCAACGGATACTCATAATTTAATGTTTGTTTATTGAATAATCTACCTGTTACCTGGTAGTGTTATCATTTTTATTTAGGTCTTCGAAGAACTGCTTAATTTCTACAACTAACTCTTCAGAACTTTGGCTGTAGTACCTCCCGGCAATTGTCCCTCCAACTGCCCCATATTTCAATAACAGCTTAAACATTTTCGAAGTTAAATGTTAACTCTTATTCCTCCTAGTTATTAACCTGTGTTAGTCTGTAGGCCAGTTAACAACATATTAGCTAAATGTGAAGAAGTTATCACAGTTTGAAAAACGTGGTCTCGATGTCATGACGTAGATGTGTCTGCAGCGAACGAGTAGAATACGTATTTAAGCAAATAAATAATGATACCAAATACACGAGTATGCTAAGATTGCAATTGAATAAGGACTGTCCCCACCACTTCATCTTACTCAACTATGCTGCTATGATATCACAAGATGAAGGATAGTCTCTAACAGCGAGATCGACGTTTACTAGGTGGAAATGCATCCATCAGTTGGTATTAATGACGGATACTGGCTATAAGCGGATTCCAGTATAAGCATTTCTTCCTAATTTGGAGTAATCGCAAATGGAGTAGCTACTATGACTATACCCAAGTGGATATCACTCTGGCGTATGATGCAAAAGTTTCCATCTTCATGTATAAAAAATCGAAGGTGAAGAACGTCTGCTTGAATGTCTATTGACGCAAAATAACTGGTTTGTTTTTTCATTGTTTCCCATGAGTGCCGGAATAAACAACCTAAAATAGAAACCATTTCGTCACTCACAAACAACAGTTTCGGCAATGATTTATATTTTCCAGTCTTACCGCGAACTCAGAAAATTCGGTCGCACTTCACACATTCAAAACTCTACTTCTGATCCGAGTTTATATTTCCTGAACGTTTTGCTCAGTCGTGCAAGCATACTTACAGACTTATAAATTTTCGCCTAACTTTTTAATACGTTAAGTAATTCTTTTTTAGTATCAGAATGTGCATAAATGCCTTCATCGTTTTCTGATAACAATTATTTATCACAATTTTCAATGCAATAAATTTTCCACAGTTCAGTCAGTGTATTAATAAATACCTCAGAATCACTCACCTTTCACAGGTGGTTTCTGGATGAAATACTCGAAGTGATTCAAAACAGTCTTGATCCTAAGAAACATGAATATTTAGTTCTTTTCGTGCATCGAACTGCCTAAAGTCAAATCACGAGAATATTTCTCCAGATCCAGACAAAGAAGCATCTTTCAGTGAAGTAATACAATTGCAAAATGTCATACTGAAGATGACTAATAGTTAAAAAGCGAAGATTTTCTCAACGTTCATTCATATAAACAGTGATAGCTCGAACTAAAAAATAAACCGTTGTTAGCAGCTTTTATGAATTCACAGTCACCTCACTGTAGCAAGACTACAATTGATCTACGATGAAAACTAGAGGTTAACAAGTCTTCCTATTAGATTCAGTAATCCAAAACTCAACTAAACTGACGATATGCGAGGAGACGTTATATGACTTCCTAGTTAAACTACCTATCTGAAGTGAATAAAAATGTTTCCATTTTATTGGTTAATTTTTTGAGTTCAACAGAACTTTTAGTTTTATAGCTTATAGTCAGTCATACAAAGGGTGGTTATCGTGATTTAGTAACCTAACGGATGAAACTTTACTACTTGGGTTTGTTTCGCAGTGCGAGCAACATCATTTACTAAGGCAAGTTTGAAAAGAGATGAAACACACGTTCTGGATTCTACTGCTAGTCACTAAACGTTATAAGCATCAAAGAAAGTTCGGCTTGAAATAAATCTAAGTGACAAAGCAGCCTTGATTTATTACAATTGAAAACCATACATTAGTGTTTTGTAAACAATTCTAACTGAAAAAAGCAAACTCAATAATGTTTTTTGCTCAGCGATTAAGATGGTCTACTTTTGCTAATATCAATCCTAATTTCAAAGGATTCATTTCGCTTGGTGTTCGGTAAGAACACAAACAAAATATTCTCACTCATATTTGTAAATATGCCATCTGGTTTTATATTCATTGTAAATCCATTAGGATAGTGAATGGACTTTGGTATATAAATCTCTGCGATTAAAGTTTGACTATCATTGTGATATTCGGATTGAAATGTGGTAAATGAATAATGAAAATCACCAGTTTTATGATTGAATTGAAGTGTCTGAAATATACCTTTTGTTGATTGCGGATAAGGACGAATGAAAGATTGAACCTGAAAGTGAAACAGAAAGATAACAAGAAACAATCGTTGACTGAAACAGATATCTAATGTATTATTTATTGGTAATGAGCTAGGTGGTTAGATTCAATCAGCGTTCAAGTTTGGAATGTCAGCGATGTAAATTTAACACCTGAAACTGTTTGTTTTATCCATTAAAGAATAATTTGTTGATGATTCAAAAGTTTCCTTCATCACTGTCCCAGAGTGATTTTCCAGAGTTTTGGTTCACATACCTGAATTTCATCTAGTAGGTTTCAGTTTCACAAACCGCTCCACATATATGTCGGTTTCGGGAACTAGAAAGTATGGTTGGTACCCAAACAGCATTTCACAAACCTTTACATGGTTACTGAGCTGCGAAAAACACTGTGTTAAAATCATTATTATTCATAGGTGGCGGATGTTATATCATGGAAAAAGAGGAAACTATGGATCTCAGATTAGTGCTATTGGTCGTGTTATTTTATTTACTCTAAAAGTAATTTTACTTATGTTATTTGATAACATTGTTATATGGCTCGGTTCAGGAGACTTTCATTGACGCCTCATCCATTTGTGCATGACTCAGTTCGGAAATACCTGCACGTCCCTCAAAACCCATTATTGTGCATTACTACGTGTTTTGTGCTTTGTATAACCTGTTTCATTTTTGTAAACTATGATGCTTTTTAGTAAAATAATTTACCCAAAAGTACAGATAAATGAGATCGCATGAAATATGTGGACAGTAAGAATCAGACCTTGTGTTCTGCTGTACGTGGTTGAAACGGCGGAATGGTGTGACTCATTGTATGGTGGATTCGGGTATACATGACTGAAAAAGTATATCCCTGACCAGTCACGTTGAAGGCCAGTGGTAATACTGAATAATCTGAATCATATGCCTAAGCCAATCCCGTCTAGTTAACCAGTACACTAGTTACTAGCCGGTCCTAAGCCCAGATAAAAAGGGGAGGTTGGGGATAGGGCTAGCAATCCTACCACGGGAAACCAATCCAATCGCCAAAGAAACTTCTAAGCACAGACGAAATTTCAAAAATAGACTCATTCCTCACTGGAATCAGGGAGACAAAATGACGCCGATTGGTGAAAGCCTACGGGAAGCCAATTGGCCGATGTGTCTTCTCTCGATGAAAGCGAAAGTAAGGAAGGGGACATGGAATATCTTCACCATGTATGAACCTACCAAGGCTTCCCAGATTGCAAAAGAGATGAGAAGGTATGGCATAGAAGTGCTAGGAATCTGTGAAAACAGACTGAATGGAAGTCGACTCTCCCAACTGTCAACTAGAGAGAAGTCAATAATCTACTCCAATATATTGTCATCCAGACAACAACCACAAGCACACTGAATTTTCGAGTGGCTATCATGATTTCCCCAATAACATCGAAGGCTCTCACCCATGCAGTGGGAACCAATCTCCACCAGCATCAGGTTCATGTCAGCAAGATTCAACTCAAAAGGAAGGAAAGTCACAAACATACAATGCTACGCTACGCTTCGCATCTACAAATAATGCAGATGAAGAGAAGAAGGAGGAATTCTACAGACAACTGCAATCAGTATTGGACAAGACCACAACCCACCTCAGATGCGGACATCAAAATGCATTCTCATGGATGGGGTTATATGAATGCCAAACTGGGAGCAGACAACACAGGAAGAGAACTAACCATGGGTCGAGAGGCACTCGGTGAAATGAACGAGAATGGAGAATTGTTTGCAGACTTCTGCTCATTCAACGATTTGTTGATTGGAGTGAGGCACTGTGTTTAAGCACAAGGATTTCAGAATAAAGAAAGCTGGATAAAATTTCGAGGCGTAATTCAACCACTCATTCATCAACAGAGTGAAGAAGAGTTTTCTTTTTAACATAACAAAGTTGTGAATGAGAACCATGTGACACAGCTACGTAAACAGAGAAAAGCAAACACAACATTGATAGATTTGTCAACAATACTAGCTTCAAGTGTTTGGGTAGTGCTTCATGGTATGTCTCCAGAATTACATTAGAAATCTTCGTGTCTTATGATCTGAAGTAGTTGAATGACGTACGTATCTTGCAGGTGTATTATGTGTAGGCGATACTGTAAGTTTATTTTCTTCAGCATAGGGAGTTAGGTTTTTAAGTGAACAGTGCGGTCAAACTCACTAGGGAGAATGAATGCTGTTAGGGTCAATCAGAAAATACCACGAGTTGAATAAATTATAGAAATGTTTAATGATGAACTGCTATTGGTGTCTAAGTGATGGAATTATAAAGATGAGACTTACGCTTTTTGGATTCAGTCATGTAAAAGATCATAATAGTGCAGTACTTAGATTTTCATGCTATTCAATCTCTCAACCACATTTATTTACATTGAACATCATCTCCATAAAGGGTGACTTTTAAAAAGGAAGATATTTACCTTCCAAATTAGTGTTAATTAGGTCAAAGAAGTGCCCAATTGCCGTAATGTTATTTTGTCTAGGTATATTTATTTTTCTGCACAACTTATACTCTTAAAAACTAATTTGTTGGAATGATCAAATTTGAAGGGAAGAAAAATACCTTTTAGCACCATCAGATGGAGATTATGGTATGCTGTAAAATGAAAGAAGCTGAAAAAGAACAATCATTAAATTTTGACCTAATGGCTGAATAGCAAACTCTACATCACAATAAGTGATAGCTCTACACTTAATACTGTTTAGATTCGAAGATGAGAATGACTCGAGTTGGTGAACTAGAAGCAAACAACCATACAGTGTTTTTTTCTCAATGGTTTTATATGCTGATTCCCCTTGATAAGACCATCACCTGTCAAAGTATTTTTTGATCGAGACGTAAGACCTAGAAGCCTTTGCGAATAAAGAAAGCTGTATAAAATTTCGAGCCTTAATTCCACCACTCATTCATCAACAGACTGAAGAAGAGTTTTCTTCTTAAAACAATGGCCATCTTAATGTTACTACTGAGATGACAATTATTTAAGTATGCGGCTAAGTAATGTCATTGTGTTAAGTGACTTCAAATATTAAAGTGGGGGAACATTTTGTAAGTTGTATGAATTCGCTGGAAGTTCTGAAATAATGATAACCGCTTTATTTCACACAATATTTTTGATAGAGTATGGAATTCTCAAAGTGTAACATTTCAACAGATTCCCTGCCCTTGCAATATTTTAGAAAGAAATGGTTACTGCGTCTGGATAATCTTAAATGATATGAAACAACCAGCTGTTGTTAGATTACAGAATGGTCTGGGATGAAGAGTAAACAGAAAAGCAAGCATAAGTTTAGTGGAGCCAATTCATTCAACTAACAGAATAATCGTCAATTCGAGGTGTGTCGGAGGGACAGAAATATGATGTATTTTCGTGTAACTGGAGACCCATTTCCACTAACAGTGGCATTTGTTCTTCATTTTGTCGTTAGCTTCAAAAATGAATTGTTGAGTCTATTTCAAAAATGTGCAACAGCATACGATAATTTTATAAGATAGACTTAAAAACCGGAAACAAACTGAAAGGGAAGAATACGAGTTTGTATACTCGGCGGAAAATGTTTGGTAGCCCGTGGTTCAGACGAGCTGCCAAGAAGAAGTAAATTTGGATAGAAATTCATATGAAAAACACAATCAGTCGTAAACTATTTGAACTACAATAACAGAGGAAACCTTTTTTGAGATGAATGGTGGTTTTTAATTTAGAAGTAGTATTCATCATGGACTGGCATCAGTTGGGGAACCACTGAAAATCTGGAGCACTGGACAGCCGTTTCGTCCTAGTATGACCTAAGCTATCTTACTAACTTATCATATTAGTTGATTTATCTAGAATACCAGACCTACTAGCTAACTGACAAAGAGGTTGAAAGTTGAAAAAACAATTACACAAGAAAATAACAATATTCTATAATAAGATGCTATTCTGGAGTTTAGATAAGCTTTTTAAAATATGTTCAAGTTATATATGTATGAAAAAAACACATTCATTAGTAACTTCGCCAGTTATATTGGTAAGTGTATTATTGCTAGGAAATATTTTTGCTACCGCAAACCATCTACTAAAGTATGGATGGAAAAGTAGGCATTACCTATATGTAGATTAACGAAGATTTTATTTTCAAGATAGTATATATTACGAAATGATATCAGGTGGAGGATCACTGAAAACCTGGAAGCACTTGACAACTGTTTCGTCCTAGTATGTGATTCAGCAATACACACAAACGAACTCGCCAGTGATCAGACTCAGGCTCTTCAGGTCCCACGGTGAACGCGTTCATTTTTCAGCCACTGGGTCGGAGTTCACTGGTTCATAGTTTTCCACATCAGACATTGTGTGATATACAGGGACTATCTGCCTACGACCTAAATTAGCATCCGCCTCACTTCCGACTGGTTGATGCCACAGGTCAGGATTTCTCATCAGAACTTAGTGATATCAATCTCGCAGCATATCATTAATGAGCAATCTAGTATAATGTATTTTGAGAATAATGGGGATTTTATTTTCAACGTGGTATTCAACTGTTCTCAGTCTGTGAAAGATGTTACCATATATATATGAAGTAGTCAACCCATCGTCTCTTTTGTTACGCCTCTTTGGTAATTAAATTTCCTTCATCATCTTTTATTGGTTTCATCTATGTTGATCTCTTCCCAGATAGTAACCTGGAATTACCAGTGAACACATGCCCTCTGACATAAGCAGAAGTGAAATCCTGAACGCCATAAAGTTGCTGAAATCCAGGAAAGCAGCAGGACCAGATGGAATTCCGTGAAAACGCAGTGAAAACAGATGCAGATACATCACCAGCGGACATGCTCACACCGGCATAGTTTCAACTACAAGTGGCATAGATGAGGACGTCAAAACCAGGATCAAAAAGACAGCAAGGCATGCCTTCATTAATCTGAAATGAGTGTTTAGATCTAATGCACTGCACTGCACTCAGCATAAAGCGTGAGCAACATCCGGATTTTCAACACTAATTCAATCAAGTTAGTGCTTCTATGTGGTGATTGAGAGACTTGTTGCATCACGAAAAGCATTTCCAACAAACGACAGTCATTCATCAACAGCTGTCTATGCTTGATACTGAATATCAGATGGTCAGAATAGTAAGAATAAGCAAAGTGGAACTCTGGCCGAGCAACAAAACTACCAAGAACCTATCGCCCAGCAAAAATATGCAGAAGGAAGTGGAGATGGATTGGATTGGGCATACACTGAGAAGACTATTTATGGACATGACGCGCCAGGCCAGTCCCTCGAGTGGAATCCGAAGGGGAAACGACGAGTTGGGTGTCCGAGGCGAGGGTGACATGGAGGAGATGGTGTGAGTAAGAAATGAAAGTTTGTGGGCAGTCGTGGAGCCAGGTTCAAAAGACTATGGAGAAGAGAGTGAAATGGCGATGTGCTACTGAAGCCCTATGTTTCACTGGGAACCCAAGGGGCATATTATAATAATATGCTTAGGCCAACTGTAGCCAGAGAGAATAATATCAAACTGGAGACAACGTTAAGCCAGTAATATAACAACGTATAAATAGCATTCACATAAGCTTGCTATGCGTGATTTTGTTAGAACGGAAAGCTATGAAGAAATAACAGATAAGAATGAAATATCTTAACTATCATTCATACGACCTTTCAGCTAGTATGTGTCAGTAGCGGTTTCAAGTGCCATATGCCTTTTCCGTCTACTATCTACTGAATACATTCTCGTGTTTGTATAGATGCCTCGATATGCAAATTGAACTGATATTCAATAAATGTGTGAATGTGCATTAAGACTGGTTTGTGCATGGCTGTGAAAAATTGTCCCATACGTTCTTCCGACTGCTTTCTCCAGTTCGAATCAGTGGTGTTTTGACAATAGTCAAAAGACACACCAGATCTATACACTTTCTTGAAACTCTTTGCTGAGCGGGAGACTTGATTACTAGCTTCATTGTAGTCTTTACCATAAATCACACTGTCTATTTTCAGAATCACTTATATATATATATATATATATATATATATATATATATATATATATATATATATATATATATATATATATATATATATATATCACCGATACTATTTACTTCATTCACAATTAATTGGGCATAAAGCATCTAATCACTTTTATACTCTATTTCACCTTTCGTATTACGCTAACGGTTTCATTAATAAACCAAAGGTCAGTAGAAATTTAATATCAACCGACCCTCATACATTTTAACGTCAATTGATACTAACAAAACCTGGAGTGTGCAAGTACTAACCTAACTGTAAGTCGATTCCACTAGTCCTGTGTTTTGTAATTTTAAAAACTAATCTACGCTACAATCATTTTTTCAGTAATAACCCTGATATAACTTCAAGAAACTGTTAATGTAGCGACAATGATGAATGTCCACTCATTTTATATATATCGAGATATTGCATACATCCCGTAAATTTTCGACAAAACTTCTAACTGAATTCATCATGTCAGAGGAGATATTTATGCACTTTTAGATGCAGAATATATATATTCATTTCATTAATTGCATGAATTTACCATCCGATTATAAGCAGTATTGTATACAGCTACATCGTGTCAGATACTTTGCTTATTAGGTGAAATATGATGAGTAGACCATACAATGGGAAATGACACTGATGCGCCTATGAGTTGCTCGAACAAATTTTCGATAAGATTTTCAATACAACTTGTCAGATGTTGTCAACAATCAGTGAATGTAGCTACACAGGTCAATTCTGATGGCGTGTAAACATCCTGCCAGTAAGAAAGTTATTCACATGAAACTCAACTCGTCTTCCAGGTTCTGAACAGTCTGATCACCCATGAACTTGTTGTACTATTTATCATAAAATTTACGAAAAGGGTCATTTAAGTCAATGGGAAACGTGTGAATAGGAAGCACAGAGAAAAAATCCAAATCAGTTTGGAGGTTTAATGGGGGGACCTGAAGGTCCTGGGCCCGAACCCCGGCTGCATCCTGTGTGCGCACTGCTGAGGAGTCTCATACTAGGATGAGACAGCCTCACAGTGCTTCCAGAGTCCCAATGATTGTTCTGTTGATGTCAGTCCATGACGATTACCAACCTAAAATCTAAATCACACCACTCCTTTTATGAAATTGAAATCAGTTCTGTCAAGATAGGTTCAACGTGAGTACAAATTGTTTGAATTTATGGATGGCAAGAGCTTCAATAAATTTAAGCCCTCGACCCTAACCACTTTCATGCACTACTTTAGAGGGTGTTCCCATGTCTACCTTGTGACTAGTTTCTAGCGTGTGTTTAACAATAGATGAAGATTAGCATTTGTCACCTACACTTATCAGGTCTGTTGAGGTCATTTGTTTCTGAAGCCAGTTAGGTACACGTCGAACCATCCTTAGCTGCATATCATGATTACTCCTCCCTATGTGTGTATGTGTGTCCACGCATACATGTAAATTGATAAACACAGTGGGATGTCGTGTAATCGCTTACATGTTGTTTTGGTTTGTGTTGCAACATGAACTCTGTCTTCTCTACAATGATGATCTTGGCTACATAATTTGTTTTACATATGGCTGATCTAAGCTGTTTCCTCACAATAAAGCTATGTGAATCACCTCTAGATGGTAATGAGATGTAGACATTTATCTTAGCAACAAAACACTGCATACTTTTCAATGCAACATATACTTTGCACCTATCGATAAATTTCAGTGGATAGCTATTCTGTATCAGTGTTGTCGTCAATAAGTTGGTTTTCTTCCTTCTTCCTGTCATCAGTGCAGATGCGATTTATCCTGCTGAAGAGGCAGCTAACTAAACCGCGTTTATATTGGAATAGGAAATAGCTATAGAAACTAATATATTGCCTTGTCCATGTAGGCTTCCTATCGATCGACTTCCTGATCGAGCCATCCAACTATCGATTAAGCACTGAGTCTAAGAATAATAGCTGGTTGTTCATCTCTTCTTCGCAAGGAAGGCTAATATGATTTGCAGCTGTGTTCATCTTCTCTAGTGGACATATCGCATTGTCAGGCTTTTTATATTCAATGACCATATCATCGTGTTTGGCGCTAATACACCACATGTTTCAGATAATTTTCGTCTTCTGATTACACCTTTAAATTGACCGATGGGATCAATTGCTTCAAAGTCTTCCAGGCTGATTGATTTATTTCAAGTTGGTATTCATCATGGACTGACATCAGTTGGAGAAACACTGGAAACTTGGAGGCACAGGATGGCTGTTTTGTCCTAGTATGGTACTGAATAGTGCCCACCCATGACCTCGCCAGAGATCGATTTATGATTTATGTTTTTCAGAGCTGGTGTCACTGAAGTTTTCTCACGTTATGTATCCTTTTGACTAGTTAGTTAAAAGCAAGTCCTTAGTTGGTTGCGTGTGATGCATGACATTTATTTCATGAATTAATGTACTGATCCTATACAATTCTTTCGATGGAATTGGACAAATCTCCTCATATTTATCATAGATATTTGTAATTTTAAATAAGACATTAATTAAGAAGACAAAAGTTAAAATTCCATGAGAAACGAGTGCTGGAAAATGATGATGAATACAAAATGAAATCACCATATTCACCATATCTATTAATATTCCTGCAAGAAATTCCGATAGCTAGTAGGATCATTGTCAGTAGTTTTGCTCGAAATGTCTATGGTGTTGCATAAACGTTCATTACAAATATATTTATAACAAACAGATTCATTTTTAAACACACAAACTTCTCATGGAGATAACAAATCTTATTCCATCTGTCTACCATTTCTCATTTCGTGCAAATTACATTTGATTCAATTTGTAAATGTCTCAACGCAGTCATACTGAGTGCAGTAAGCATTTTTCTTCGTATCACTTGTTTCAGAATGTTGTAAGCATCAGTCACCCATCTTATCAAACATAAAGGCAGTTGTTACAACTCGGTCAATAAACCAAAGCTTCATTTCCTTCGGATTATTTTATTAAATACAAACTTGACTATTTCAGTGGTATTCACCCGCCTATTTGTGATAACTAGCCTTCATACGACAACAGTCGCCTATAAATGCTAGTCAGAATCTATCGGTAAAACTGGGAAAAAGTAATCAGGAAATCTGTTATCCTCAGTGCAAAGAAGTAAAAAACATACTTTTATGCCATTGTAAGCTACGGATTCCTGTTTCACCAAGTAAATCCCATGTGTAACAACTCTATACAAAATACTGTTTCCAAGTTAGCTTCAGACAAATCTCTGCTGGCTCAAAGACATCTAATATAATACAGAATTAGGTTACCTGACTTTTAATTGGATTTCCGTTATCATCTATAAAATTCCCATCCCAGTAGGTCCATGATTCGAAATTCTTATCAGCTTCATCCAGCACAGCATTGCATTCAATTGTATTCACACTCTTCGGATTTCCATCATCTCCACATAAACCGAATTCAGTTAAGAAGCGACCACCTCCAGTCATTTTTGTAGCTTTAACAGCATTAGATATAACATCCGGTAAAAGGAACTAAATGCAATTTACAGAGAATCAAAACAAAAGACGTTGTGTGTATTAAGAAAACCCTAATGAGAAAAGTTACTATACACAAGTGAAATTCAATGTCTATGCTTTGAAAGTTCGATTGATTTTGGGATGGTGTTCATCACGGACGGAGGTCACTTTGAGAACTATTGGAAACCTAGGAGCACTGGACGGCTACTTCGTCCTAATATGGGGCTCACCAACAGTGAGCACCCATAACCCATGACCTTCAAGTCTCCTAGTGAGCACATTACCAGTGAGACGCTGGGTGTGAATTCAATGGTCCAAATTTTCCTAGTTCTGGTAATTCGTAAAACAGCGTGACCATCATCCAATGTTATCATTGAGTATATATCCTCACGTCCGACTTAGTTTGTCCCACACATCATGACTTCAAACTGTAATCTCAAGAAATCACATCTCGAATCTTGTCACAAATCATGGTTGGACCGTATTTCCGTTTGGACGTTTGTGGTGATTTGATTGATTTTTATGGTGGTATTCATCAGTTCTCGCAAGTTTTCAGCAGCTCTTTGACCGATGTCAATCCGTGATGAGTACCTCCTGGAAATCGATGTCCATGTGTTACCTCAATGCATAACAGGATCAAGGTGTCTTTTCAATGAATTACCAAGAGTTTTCAAGCCTTTTATCACAACATGAATAAAGTATGGAAGGACCGTCAACAATAAAACAACCAGAAGGAGAGAAGGAAGGTATTTCAATGATAACTTGTGATTGTGATAAATGTTGTACTGATGATGTTTAGTTAACTAAACACTAGACTAGATGGCAGAACTGAACACATTTTGAATTTATAAGGTTGAATCACTGTGACAGACTGAATAGTCATCCTATTAACCAAGTGAGTAAATACCAAACGATGGAACTTCCCATCCGCCAACTGTGTACCCCAACTCTGCGACCAGAATCGTGATGAAATAAGACAGTCACTTATCTGAAGAACATTGTCAAAGTAGAATAACCATAATCTGACCTTCAAGTGACAAACAGGCTACCAAGCATGACATGAAGATTATCAAGTCGGCAATAAATCACTACTAATAAATGTAAGGCTGCAGTTGTATCCTTTGTGACAAGGTGATGAAATCGATGAAATACATATTAGATGAAAGAGAATATATTAGGATTACTTTCACTGCTTATGAATTCGATTTCATTCGTCTGGTTAGGAGGCACATATTTTAATTTGTGCAACCCAGTGTGTCTTAGCCTGTGACATTATAGTTTCTAAGTAACTTCATCAACTGATGTCATATTCTGACTTGGTTGCCTTGGTTTGTCTTGCTAAGATTCGAACACAGATGATTAGGTTCTTAGAATGTTCTGACTCACTGTTTGTGCACACAGTGTAGGCATCAGAGTGATTCTAAGGTATTGCAAAACATCTGCCCGAAAGGTAATGTTGTCTAAATAGTACTTATTATGATATTTTTTGTAGAATCAGTGGAAACTCAATATATAAAAAAGATAAACTGTGTTAAGGTAGGCAACAATTAATATTATTCTCTACATTATTGCATTTTTCGTAGTAATTCAGTGAAATCGACTGCTCAGCTTTCATTTATTTCCGCACAACTGGTACATATAATTTGACTTTTCACTATACTTTTTAAGACAATAGTCAATGCCTAATTCTGCAATCAAATGTATGCTGATAGATATTTGTTTTTCTTTCACAAAATGTTTTATCATCGTCATTTTTGACCAACTTAAAGAGTAAATGAAGAGAAGTACTTTTCAAAGCATAAATACACTCACATGTTGAATGAATGCTTTCTTCATTGAAAATATCAACTTAGGTTTGAACTGGTGATATGAAAGCGACTATCAAGTAGTTCAATAGTCACCGACTAGTAAACGTCGACTGACTAAGAATCAACATTTGAAGGGCACTAACTGGAATCAAAAACCATTAAGATTTACCACAAATGCTTCTACGACCACTAAATAGTGTAATCGTTCAATTATTTTGTTTAGGTAGATATCATCACGGATTGACATTATTTGGAGAACCATTGAAAACCTGGGAGCACTCGGTAGCTGTTTCGTCATAGTATGGGAACCCTGAGCACTACTCACCCATGACCCAGCCAGCGATGGAACCTAGGACCTTCAAGTTTCACAGCTAACGTATTAAATTATTTAACTGGTTAGTTGAAACTCCCATCTGAGTCTCAAGGTCACAGGAGTGGATAAACTAGGAGATGAATCAAAAAGGGACCTAACGAAGCTTGTGCATACTGGGCAGTTATTGATAAGAAAGTATCGATGAAAACAGTGGAGCCTCTGAGACTGCACTAGTTATCCACTAAACATATTCACTGACGTGACTGACAGTTTTATGCGTTTGTTCAAGGGTATACACTAATCGGCTGATATATCAGTTAGTCGATAATGTAAGGACACTAATTATCAGATAATTAACATTGGAGTACTTCCTATCCAACTTCTCCCAGCTCTAGATACTGAAGGAAACATACACTGGATGTAATAGTTGGCTACTTTATCAAGCGATTCAAAACCAGATAGTATTGTTCCAATATATACATACGCAGTCCATAGGAAAGGGATTGATCAGGAACTTATTTACATCGATGACAGCCAATAGGAAAAGGTCAACATGTAAGAGTAGAGGGAATGATTTAAAAATAGATAAAAATCACGGGATAGTATTTTAATACAGAGAAACATGGTTCGAACCAGTTACATACCAAATAAATTTCTTCTGTACTTTCATAAAATTCAACAGTGACATTCACATTTACACAGAGAAATAACTAAGTATGAGTGAGGCACTGGAGTTCTACAATCATTATCTTTATAGAACGTTTCGGTAACAGTTATTCATATATGGTCTCTATATAGTTCTGTTCTTAATGATGTCAGGATGAAGAATTCTTCTATCAGAATGATATGACACCTTTCAATACGAAGTAATCGATCCAAAAACGTCCCTATTTCTTGAAGGATATGTTACACTTGAACATTGTATTTCTTGCATTCATATAGACAAACACTAATCTAATATCATTTCGACAAAGTAATTACTTAGTTAAGTCCTTATGAGTAATTGATTAACGTGATTGACACCAGCTGAATGCTATGGTACCGGTAGTTGAACTTGGAAGTTATACGTTGGATCCCATGCATTAGCGAATTCTCGCACCAATATGAACTGTGAAATGAGGACCAAGCAACCATCCTATACCCTCTTGTTTTCACATTATTTCACGAATAATAATCTACACTAGACAATTGGGAATTTTTCCCTATCCAAAGTTAGATGGGTGACAGTCGTCCTTATCTCATTTCTCCTTGTAAAGCTAGTTCAAAACACTTATTGAGTAAACTGTTTCAGTGTGCCTTGTTTAAATGGACATGCAATGTTAGAAAAAAATGTTTCACCTCATCACACAACAACCTCTTCCAAAGTGGCATATCCGCTTTTGGACCGTCTGTCTGTAGAACCCAACAGTAATAATGATAAGCAAGTACGCTTTTATTTGGAGCTGATTTGTCGTCATTCGCTCCAGGTACACGCTGAAATCCTGTACCTAGCCACCCTGCATTGAAAGGAAGGAATATTCCATATGTGACAGGCTCATAAAATATCAGTTTATCATTATCGTGTTCACGTATTCGTCCAACAAGGTAATCATAAACCGGTTGTAGATTATATCGACCAGAATAACCTGGAAATAATATGGAAAGGTTTTGTAGCAAAGAAAGCAGCAAAATTTTGAAAGAATAATCGAAAGATATTTTATTCGTAAATAAAATATTTCACTATTTACAGGTGAATAAAAGCTGAATGTTAGGCCTCACTAAATAATAATTCTTATCTATTAAGAAGCAGTTTCTCACTGTGCGTCAAAACTCGTTCCGCAATCAATTTCAACCATCAAGTCACTCAAATATTTCTAGTTGTTGAGAAGATCTCTCTCAAATCTACCACGTGCTTTACTTTCTTCAATACGAGTTTAACTCTCGTAACTAACAATTGATACGCAAGTCAATGCGTGTTCACCACCCGGTACCATCGGTGAATGATTATCTTCACTCTTCAATTTATAGGCAGAACAGGTCACAGCTTCTCACTGCAACATTAAGCAGTCCTGCTATAAACAAGTAAATCATCACCACTAGCCATATATTTTCACAGTCTATAGGAAGCCAGTTTAGGTGAAGATATTATGAATATCCAGACCATAGTTGTAACGAATGTCCTGCAAGAAGTTGTGCACCGAGTCTGAATAAATTATTCTAAGAATATATTTTAGTATCCCAGCGGGTTTAGAAATATCCTGTTTTGTTTTTAACACGGGATTATTTTAAAACATATATTTTTGAAGATGACATTGGTCAAAGCATATTCATGTAGGACGGAAGCGTAAGAAGCCAGAATTCACTGTGAAATGGCTCACAGGCGAATGAAGTTCACACAGAACATGTGACTTTGATCTCCCTTATTTATTATTAGTTGATGAATGTCCAGAAGTTCTGCGACCATTATGATACTGAATACCTGATATAGCAGGAGTAAATAACTGACTAAAAAGTATGCGATCATATAATACTCATTAAACAAAGATAGGAAGGAATTGAAAAGAAGAACATATGAACGAGTACTTTTCAGCACTCGTCAGAGAGGCGCATCTGCAATCTCTAAGGAACTGATGCCTCACCTGAGACTTGAACCCACGTCACCCAGAGCTGCAATCAGAGGTGTTACCACTCAGCCATTCGAGCCGCAACTTATCTCCTTTACAACTGGATAGGCACACTGATTGGTCACTGCAGAGTAACCAATTTCATGTTATCTAGTCCCAAGTGCTGATCGAATTCTATCGATCATTTTGCAATATGACCACCAGGCTAGTTGACTCAACATCACCGTGCACTTTGATAGATGTTAGTTAGATGAAGAATGATGGGTGGAAGAGTGAATCTAGATGAAACGCAAATTACCAACGAAATTCATTTCCAAACAATAATGTGAAGAGTAATCAAATAGAAGATGTTTATCAAAAAAGAGGAAATAATTTGCTATGTTGTTAATCCACTGGAATTTTTTAACGAAAGTAATGAGAAAGCAGAATCCTTTAATTATTTTGAGGTCGTAAATATCGATGCACACATAAGAATTAAAGATGTGCATATCAGTCTACACCGTTCTATTAGTAAGCGCTGACAACCAACAAGTGATGTGCTATTATGAATTTCGATCCAAATACATGTAATTCGCTCTCAAACTTCGTCATTTTGGTCGTTTAAATTTGAAGCCCATTTACACTTTGATGAAGTCAAATATCGTGTGGCATTGCAGCCAAACCAAAGCAGGAAGAGTGAAGTGTGAGACGGGAGAATTCACTACAAAAGTGTTTACAAGTGAATCCAATTCACACAGACCACGTGAATTTGATCTCACTCATTTATCATAAGCTAGTAAATGTTCAGAGGTTCTGCAATTCTGATGACTCTGAATATCTGATTTAGAAGGCGCGAATAACTGCCAGTTCTGTGAAAAAAATTACGTCTGATGCGTCAAATTAACTGTGATTGGTGAGGTATTTACAAGTATACATCTATGCCGGCTGGGTACTTCAGTGATTCATATGCTTACATTCTCATTGATTTTACAAAAATCTTTGAAATGTCTCGCTGATAGTCAGTTTGAAAGAAAGTGGTGAGAACTTTGGCTTTCTATGAGATAAGTGGGATACATTCCACTTTAGCCTATTTATTATAAATGTCACAAAGTGAAACAGTATCGTTTACTGGATGACATTCCGGACATAATTTATTGTCCATATTCATATCACATGTCTGAAAGTTATCCAGTAAATGATACTCTTTCCCTGTATAACATTTATAGTCAACTGGCTAAAATGAAATTACGATCTACCAGTGCTCAAGTTTCACTCCTGTATATGGGATGCATTTTGATCTGAGTATCAGGCTTGAAATGTGTCACAATATATTGCTCTGCTTTTCACAACGATTATTCAACCCTTAACATCATGAAACATTTCCTGTTCTACTGCATTCGACAATTAGACATACATGTGTGTGAAATGTCTCTTGAAGATAAATAGGTAGTTTCTGTGCAAGAAGTTCACTGTATTAGACAGACAGAAACCAAATGAGAACTAGCATTACTACGCAACTCTCCAGGTCACAAAACTTTAAATCGGTGTATAGAGGTTAAAGCTAGCAAGAGGAAGAGGAACAACAAAAAAATGATATCAGTAAACACTGAAAAAAGAGGCGATGAAATAAATCGGATTGTGAAATAATGAGTTGTAAAATGGGTTGTAAGATGAGTTGTAAAATATAGTGCAGTCGGCAGAATATGAGAGGCGAATCACATCTAATATAATCACAGGCAAACGTAATTTGATTGTGAAAATCAAGTAAGCTTCCCTGTTCTGTGTCTTAACCGATTCGTCGTCAGCTAAATTATTTCGCCTTTTTACAGGCTTGTGGGGTACGCAAAGCTGAATAATGTTCTTGACAAATTGAGTACCAGTGGGTCATAGACACAGTTCTGGAAACCTCTTATCCGAGTATGAGTGTGAAGAAAATAATGAATTTCCATGAAATCTAAAATAAACGACTGAGACTGACCAAGGATAAGCTGAATAGGAAGAGAAATATCAAATCCACCTTCCACTTCACATTATCTCCTCTGTGTTTCATCTCAGTTGTAGATGAACGATAAGGATACCGTTGGGATGTTTTATTGCTTCTAGATACAGAAACATAAATCCCTACTAGGAATAACTGCAGTAGAATATATACACCCACAATCTGAAAAATGTAACATACCGCACCTTTCACATTTAACTCAAATCGTTTCAGAACCAAACGCCAACATAGAAGTTCACACTATAAACTTTTGTTGTCCATCATGAATCTGCTCTGGAAACTGAAGTGTAGAGTGTTGAAAACACTGTCGACTTACTACAAAAGTCTATTGATGTGCACTTGTAAAGCAAGATATAGCTGACTCTCTTTCACCCGTAGTAAACAAATGAATAAATAATAGAGGTTTGAATTGCAAGCTGTTAACAACTAAATCTGCATTAACAAGAGGCTGTCCATCAGAAATTTCAAGCAGGAAGTAAGATCATGTTAACCTCGGCATAGCCACCAATGCTTTTGAGAAGTGCGAACCAGGTGGATTCACGCTGATCTTCACTCACCCACATATAACTAGACATTATAACATCAGTCAACCGAGTTGAAACTTAAATGATTGACGTTGTTTGAGGCGAAAAACAACAAAACTACTTAACTTCTAACCTGTTCAAACTGAGTCAAGTGACGGGACATGGGATTTATGCCATGTTAAGTATAGGACATAATTTTCCCAGGTTGTTTATTGCCTGATTGTGCCGGTGGTGTGTTTCTCATGAGAACTCACAGTTATGTGGCTACTATCGAGAATGTACTTCAACCAATATGCTTCTCCAAATAATCCACATTTATCGACAATAAGAACATATTTCGATGAGGTTAGAGAAAGTCCTTTCATTTAAACAGGATGATCATGACTGTGTGTATTGAACACAAAGAAGCACGACACTTCGGATTTCACGTAACTAATTCGCAATAACTTTCATGCTATCGGCATGAATACACATTGTATTCTGTTGACATGCTTTTCTTAGTTACCTCATAAAAAGCACAATAGTTAACTTTAGCAGAACACACAATATTCGTTGTACAACTGAACCATCTACTAATAAATACTGACTCGAAAAAATCCATCGACAAATACTCGCACAAAGATGATGGATAGTGGCTACACTGGAATCCACCACACGCATTTCCTACCATTTCGCACTCAACAGATAGATTCACCTACCTCTCAGTGAGGGATGATGTTACCACGAAGTCTCGAATATAAATAGGATGAAACTCATCTCCCGGATACCACTACTGGCCATTATCCATCATTACTACCAAAATGAAAGTAGAGGCATACACAAACGAGTCCATATGCCAACAGAGATTGGTCAATTCGACCCAGTCAACGACTGGAAACTACAAGCAATAACATTAATTACTCGCATATTTCAAATCTGAGAAGCGAACATCTCACTACAGAATATCATGATGATCTGGCGAGAAAATCTCATCATTGATTTGCCTGAGAATACATCGTATGACATGAAGTCACTGTCAACAGGTAAGTGAATTACATACAACCTGTCAGACATGGAACACACAAAATAGACATTTGTCAGTTTGCCAGTCTCTCCATTCAAAATGATCGATATACAGATCACTTTGGTTCGACTGTGATTTGTGCATCTCATCTCAGTCAAAAGGTTGCAACCTATCCGTTTCACACTATGTCAACCTCCTCTTTCCCATCACTCCTTTGTCATTTTCCCAATCAACACTTCACACTACACTGCTGCATTGTCGCCCAGCTTTTACTCATCACCGCTGCAACAGTTCATGTCATATTTATTCTTGTCAAATTATCCACATTTGATTATCTGTAGGTAAAATGAAACCGACCAGATTGAGTGAATTCGTTGTGTTGGTGTTATCAAGACGATTTTCTTCGCCTCATTTAAATTCTTGGAGTGGATCAGTTGCAAACATATAATGGTTGCGTTCAGTGTATGAGCTTAGGATTGTCAGTGAGAAAGTCTAGATTGAATCATGCTGTAAAGATACACTAATTGTCATTTCAAACATAGTTGATGAACATGAACATGAACAACATATGAGTACGCTGTTGAGCGAAATTCGTCACTTCGGTAAAATGCTTACATTTGAAAGTGCATCACACCTCAGAATGGCAGCATCAAACGATCATGGAAATTCAGGAAATAATTTATAACCGACTCATTCCATTCTGGGAATATTCAACACTCGTCTTGGCATTAAACTGAGGGTAGTAGAGCCTCAACGAGATCACGTCAGACATTGTGCTAATTAACTGATGTGAATGACGAAAATCTGGCATGTCAGTTGAAGAAAATACACAACTGGTCTTCTCATGTCAAATGTTTCGGTGGCGCAGTAAGGTGTTCAGCCGACTTCTTGCACATACAGTCAAGTCAGTGGTCAGTATGCTTCGAATACGAAAGTGTACGCAAATCGACTGAAAGCTGAATTCATAAATTCGTATTATGCTTACCTGATAGACCATACAGTGGATTGGCATAGTAATTACCCGGTGGAGGCTCATTAATTAACTCATAACCGAGCACATTTGAAAACTCTTTGAATCGTCTCGCTATTATCTCCCAGAAATCACCCCAGTGATTCCAGGAACTCGATACATTGTCATATAACTGTTGCGCTGCACTGGCACATTCGTAAGTCAAATAATTACACATTTCACAATCCGGAGGACTCTTGTATGGCCAAGGATACTGTAGGGAAGCTGGTGGTCTTTTGAACTGATCAATTAGCCATAATGGAATACCATCATATGTGCCATAACGAGATGATAACACATCTTGATGCATGTCTAATATTAAGTAAATTCCATGTTCACCAGACAACTTGATTATCTTCTCGATTTGATCCAAGTATGTAGAATTGATTACTGATCGAGCTGGAAATAATCCACTCCACATTACTTGTAGTCGAATTACGTTGATACCCCAATCTTTAAACATTCTCATTTGTGTTCTATTCAATGCCTGTATCTTGTACCATGGAAAACTTTTACTGATGGAATTGAAGCCTCGAAATAACTTTGTAAATCCTCGAGAATCAGTGAATAGTCCATCTCGATTCAAGCTGATTTTACTTAACTTATTCGCATTCACACATACTGATGAATAGATAAGTATTATAAAGCAGGTCAGAAAGCACATGGTGTACTGCATAGTTAACTGTTGTTTGTGGCGATTGCAATATGAGTATAACTAAATGTGAACCTCGACAATTTATTCATGTCGTCTGTGCGAACAAATTTTATTTGATACACTCAACTCTTCACTGACCATTCAGAAATCAGTTATTTAGCTCAACATCATCTTATTAAAGTTATCACAAATTATTTATGCACAAACATGACTGAAACACCACTTAGCACATGCATACACGTGCAATCGTGCTTATATCTGCTAAGAAATGTCTACAAACATCCAATTTTTTGATCGCGGTTTGAATGACCTATTTAAGTATGGTGAAATTCGATTAATCGAACTACTAAACATACCTATTCTGTCAAAATATGTATGATTATAAACATCTAGGTCATAGTTGTTACGAGTGTCCTGGAAGAAGTTAAGCACCGAGTCAAAATATATAATGTCAAATGGTACGTCTAGGTGTTTCTGTCTTTACGCCATTGGTTATCTGACTTGTTGTTCAGACTGATTATTTCTGACTAGTCATTGTAAATTCGTGCAGTCTTTGTAACTTGTCATCAAAAATAATTCAATAATCAAAGTGTTTGTGTGTGTGTGTGTGTGTGTGTAAACGTTATGGAAAATGTATGTGTAATTCGTTGTTTATTGTATGAAAATATGAAAAATGAGTCTATTCATGAATAATAACTTATCGACATGGCGGGGTCGTGGATGCGCACTGCTGAGGAGTCCCATACTAGGACGAAACATCTGTCCAGTGCTCCCAGGTTTCCTTTGTTCCTCCAACTGATGTCAGTCTACGATGAATAACAACTTTAAATATTTCCAAATCTCCACAACTCACTCAAAAACTTATCGATATTGTTTGTTTGTTTTTTAAATTTTCAATTTGAAACGGTGACCCTTTTAAGGGTTTTGCCGTGTTAGAGTCTGCCAGATAGATGACAAGTCTATTCCTTTCTTTCTGTATGAAGCATTTGTTGACGTTAAAATATGCAGAGCTACCAATGTTTGTCTTTCTTGATGTGAATAAAAACCTTTCTGCAGTCTAAATTTTCAATTATCACCCAGTATCAATGCTAGTCTGTCAAGCTACCGCTATCTCAAGTAGTCAAAAGGATAACCTTTACTAACAATGTCAATATTGACAAAATCAATCTTGTGTTCACTTTCAGTGGTATGCACTATTATTGCTGATCTCTTTCCCAAATTTTTAAATTCCAACTTCATTCTGTAGTGGGTGTTTGATACATAACCTATGTTCATTCACTCCAATTTTCAGCTGTCCACAACTTTCACCAATATGACTGACCTCACGATTCGTACATTTTATCTGATACATACAGGTGTTTTGTGTCATCTTTAGAGTCACATCTTTCACTTTGTCTAGGACTTTCTCCAAAGAATTTGAAGGTTTGAAATATACTCTAATACCATACCTAAAGGAACTCTTTATATCTGTTCTGAAGTACCCTTTCTATGTGGAATTATTACTGTTAGTATACATAATTTTTTTTTCTGTCTTACTGTAATGATCAGCTGTTGATTAGTTTTCGTCTAGCCTGTAGATAGATACGTCGTTGCAGGGGATGCGCAGAGCAGTGTGAGTTTGGTGGTGGCCACGAGAGTCTGGAAAAGAAGAAAAGGAAGAGAAGAAAGGTGAGCCGACGACTCAGCAAGTACATAGGAGGCACTTGCATTTAATAGTAAAAGAACTGACAAACGGTAGAGCTGGACGACGAAGAGATGAGGCGAAACTGTAAGGTGAATGAGTAAGATTTCGAATGCGCTACATTACTTGTCTTATCTGTCCGCTCCCTGTTATTCTTCTTGAGAATATTGTTCAGAAAAGGCTTTGATAGTCATTTTCTACTAACACTTGTTTTGCTTTAGAAACTTTATTTTCTATATCCACAGTATCAATCACAATAATTTCAGTCCTATTTAATAAGTTTAAAGCTACTGTGGTTTTCATGTTGTTCATTGGATGATCGGATTGAAAATTTAGATATTTATCAGAATGAGTAGGTTTTCTGTAAGTTATAGTCTCAAATCCCCCTACAGATTTTCTCTGGTTAATCCACCGTAACACCGAATTTTGAACAATTAACTTGTCAAAGTAAGCAAAATGGTTAGACTTCGAGGTTAACCGGAGAAGCTGTTGCTGTCCTTCAAAGCTACCGTTCGTCATAACATCTTTTCCATCATTTGCGCTGCATACACAATTTACTTGTGGGTTAAAATAATGAAGTGATTATGCCTTGTTAACTGCACATTAAACTAGGCAGTTCCATTGGTTAGTTTAGCTCACTACAGTGATCTAGTTTATCAATTATGATAAGACAGTTGCTCTTTCGCTTACTTTTTTCAAAATCAAGCCAAATAAAGCACAACGAAACCAACTATGACTATGATTGTTTTAATGAGCCTTACTGGGAAATAGGGTAGAGTGACATAAACAAGGTCATTCCTGGTCCGCATGTCTTGCATGCTATTTTGAATGACATGAATTGGAATAGCTGAGGAAGGTTTATTCAATAAAAAATATGGGTATAGAGAATTATACAGTAATAGGACTTCTTAGGGGAATAAATTGAGGCTATGTGATTAAACTGACTGCGTACACGTTTCCGAGTAAACTTCCTATATCATGATGATTACACATGATGCTCCAGATTCGATATACATGTTCAAACAGCTGCTTGGACTTCAATTCCACCAATATTTTAAAAAGGTGTCCAAAGTGTCCTGCATCAGTTTTAAGGATGTATTCTTGGCTGTCAGTTAGAAAAATTTTTTCTTGAAATTTTTAAGCGTCGAATAGAGATATCAATTGATTACCAGTCATCAAAAAAAAAATTAAAACTAAATCACTGAATAATATAATTGTTTTTATATCATACCATCGTTGATTGGACCGAATTGGCCGGTCTCTGCTAGCCACGATCCATCATTAACATAAACCACTGAATAATTAAAGGCAACACGAATTCGTTGCTATGCTAGTACACTATGTCGGCATGCTCAAGTTGACATGAGCAGAAATTTATTCCATCCAAGATATAACTTACATAAGAGATTTTTCATCCCGTTCACTTCATACAAATAATGTTAGGATATCGATGACCCTGCCTCTACATCAGCAGTAATCATCCCTTAGCTGTAAATATATTCTTGGCTTCAGCTCATCTAGGAGAGGTTGAACTATCGGTTGTATTCGAAGGTGACTTAACTGGCTATGGAAGCTGGAACTCCTCGTTAAACTTATTTATAGCAGTCTGAGATATTTTTTTCATTCAGAAGTTTGATAACACTAGATAGTTTATATGGTTTGTGTGTCACCTATAGATACTATTTCGGACTTTCGCCTTACAGAAAAATGAACGATTTACATGAACAACTATGTAGCGTGCTCATACAAAGGTCACCAAAAACAACTGTTACTGCGATGGAATTGCTCTTCATGTAATTCATAGTTATAACACGTTGTGACTGATAATTCTGACAAAGTGTTATTCAGCTGTGACTTCCATTAGAGCTCTGGTGGATGGTTTTACAAATAGAAAAGCGAAATTCTCGGTCACATTCTCAAATCCTAAATTCTTCATCCACTCAGCACTAAACAAATCAAGTTCTCAATAATATGTGTAAAACTTGGGCACTGTGGTAGAATTTAATTCCATATTAGATTTGTTTATTTGATTTATAACACACAGTAAGTGATCTAGTATTATTTACTTGATGACGTTTCGAGCATAAATTATCATTGCTCAATGTAATCACACTACTTTCGACATTTGATTTTTATAGTTATGTCACTTTATATGAGTTGTTTTTATTGGTAGCAAAATTTTCCATATCTCTGGTATAGGTATTGCGTCATTTCTATTACATGTGTTGAGTGTTGATTCGATGAACAAAGATTCAGTAATCAATCAATCTCTCTCTCTCTCTCTCCACCTAATTATATTGGACTTAAGTACAGTGGCTTTATCCCACCCTATTGTGTGGTTGTGTGTTAATGCATGCAAAGCAATAACTGAGTCTTTTTCTAGATTATTGATCTTATTCAGGTCTGTCATTCTATATTTAGCTAAATTCCTATGTTCGGCTATTCTAACTGACCCCGACCGACTAGTTTGACCTATATACTTGACCTCACAGTCATTACATGGAATTTGATAGATTATATTATTTTTGGCTAAATTGGTTCTATCGATTCATCTAAGCCAACAAAGTTTATCTCTGAGTGAGTTTGTAGGTTTAAATACCACTCTAATTCCAGCTCAGTTAAGGATTCTACGTAAAGTTTCTGAGGTACCCTCTTTATAGAGTAATACAATGGAGGCTGTGAACTCCTTTTTACTCGTGTTGTCGTTATTAGTCGCACTCGTGTGACTGTTATTTTCTCGTTTTGTTGAAATCGGAACATATCGACAATTTCGTCATGCATATAAACTCATTAGTAAACGCAATCCAATGCACTTACGAGGTAGGAAATGAACAAGAAGAATTACCTATACTGGATTATAGAATAAGACGAAGAACAGACGGTGGCTTGGACACTACTGTCTACACAAAACCAACACATTCTAACAGGTATCTAGACTTCAAATCATTCCATCCAATGTCAGTTAAGGCAGGATTAGTCAAATGTCTAAATGATAGAGCTAGAAAACTGACTAGTCACAGCAAGAACCTAAACAAGGAATTGAAACACGTAAAAGAAACGCTAATAGTTAGTAATTATCCTCCACAGTTGATTAAGAAATTCTTACGGACACACAAAAAACGAGAAAATAACAGTCACACGAGTGCGACTAATAACGACAACACGAGTAAAAAGGAGTTCACAGCCTCCATTGTATTACCCTATAAAGAGGGTACCTCAGAAACTTTACGTAGAATCCTCAACTGAGCTGGAATTAGAGTGGTATTTAAACCTACAAACTCACTCAGAGATAAACTTTGTTGGCTTAAATCCGATAGAACCAATTTAGCAAAATAATATAATCTATCAAATTCCATGTAATGACTGTGAGGTCAAGTATATAGGTCAAACTAGTCGGTCGGGGTCAGTTAGAATAGCCGAACATAGGAATTTAGCTAAATATAGAATAACAGACCTGAATAAGATCAATAATCTAGAAAAAGACTCAGCTCTTGCTATGCATGCATTAACGCACAACCACACAATACTGGGTGGGATAAAGCCACTGTACTCAAGTCCAATATAATTAGGTGGAGAGAGAGAGATTGGTTACTGAATCTTTGTTCATCGAATCAACACTCAACACATGTACTACAAATGACTCAACACCTAGACCAGAGATATGGAAAATTTTGCTATCAATAAAAACAACTCATATAAAGTGACATAACTATAAAAATCAAATGTCGAAAGTGGTGTGATTACATTGATATGATTATGAGCAATAATTTATGCTCGAAACGTCATCAAGTAAATAATACTAGATCACTTTGTGTTATAAACCAAATAAACAAATCTAACATGGAATTAAATTCTACCACAGTGCCCAAGTTTTACACATATTATTGAGAACTTGATTTGTTTAGTGCTGAGTGGATGAAGAATTTAGGATTTGAGAATGTGACCGAGAATTTCGCTTTTCTATTTGTAAAACCATCCACCAGAGCTCTAATGGAAGTCACAGCTGAATAACACTTTGTCAGAATTATCAGTCACAACGTGTTATAACTATGAATTACATGAAGAGCAATTCCATCGCAGTAACAGTTGTTTTTGGTGACCTTTGTATGAGCACGCTACATAGTTGTTCATGTAAATCGTTCATTTTTCTGTAAGGCGAAAGTCCGAAATAGTATCTATAGGTGACACACAAACCATATAAACTATCTAGTGTTATCAAACTTCTGAATGAAAAAAATATCTCAGACTGCTATAAATAAGTTTAACGAGGAGTTCCAGCTTCCATAGCCAGTTAAGTCACCTTCGAATACAACCGATAGTTCAACCTCTCCTAGATGAGCTGAAGCCAAGAATATATTTACAGCTAAGGGATGATTACTGCTGATGTAGAGGCAGGGTCATCGATATCCTAACATTATTTGTATGAAGTGAACGGGATGAAAAATCTCTTATGTAAGTTATATCTTGGATGGAATAAATTTCTGCTCATGTCAACTTGAGCATGCCGACATAGTGTACTAGCATAGCAACGAATTCGTGTTGCCTTTAATTATTCAGTGGTTTATGTTAATGATGGATCGTGGCTAGCAGAGACCGGCCAATTCGGTCCAATCAACGATGGTATGATATAAAAACAATTATATTATTCAGTGATTTAGTTTTAATTTTTTTTTGATGACTGGTAATCAATTGATATCTCTATTCGACGCTTAAAAATTTCAAGAAAAAATTTTTCTAACTGACAGCCAAGAATACATCCTTAAAACTGATGCAGGACACTTTGGACACCTTTTTAAAATATTGGTGGAATTGAAGTCCAAGCAGCTGTTTGAACATGTATATCGAATCTGGAGCATCATGTGTAATCATCATGATATAGGAAGTTTACTCGGAAACGTGTACGCAGTCAGTTTAATCACATAGCCTCAATTTATTCCCCTAAGAAGTCCTATTACTGTATAATTCTCTATACCCATATTTTTTATTGAATAAACCTTCCTCAGCTATTCCAATTCATGTCATTCAAAATAGCATGCAAGACATGCGGACCAGGAATGACCTTGTTTATGTCACTCTACCCTATTTCCCAGTAAGGCTCATTAAAACAATCATAGTCATAGTTGGTTTCGTTGTGCTTTATTTGGCTTGATTTTGAAAAAAGTAAGCGAAAGAGCAACTGTCTTATCATAATTGATAAACTAGATCACTGTAGTGAGCTAAACTAACCAATGGAACTGCCTAGTTTAATGTGCAGTTAACAAGGCATAATCACTTCATTATTTTAACCCACAAGTAAATTGTGTATGCAGCGCAAATGATGGAAAAGATGTTATGACGAACGGTAGCTTTGAAGGACAGCAACAGCTTCTCCGGTTAACCTCGAAGTCTAACCATTTTGCTTACTTTGACAAGTTAATTGTTCAAAATTCGGTGTTACGGTGGATTAACCAGAGAAAATCTGTAGGGGGATTTGAGACTATAACTTACAGAAAACCTACTCATTCTGATAAATATCTAAATTTTCAATCCGATCATCCAATGAACAACATGAAAACCACAGTAGCTTTAAACTTATTAAATAGGACTGAAATTATTGTGATTGATACTGTGGATATAGAAAATAAAGTTTCTAAAGCAAAACAAGTGTTAGTAGAAAATGACTATCAAAGCCTTTTCTGAACAATATTCTCAAGAAGAATAACAGGGAGCGGACAGATAAGACAAGTAATGTAGCGCATTCGAAATCTTACTCATTCACCTTACAGTTTCGCCTCATCTCTTCGTCGTCCAGCTCTACCGTTTGTCAGTTCTTTTACTATTAAATGCAAGTGCCTCCTATGTACTTGCTGAGTCGTCGGCTCACCTTTCTTCTCTTCCTTTTCTTCTTTTCCAGACTCTCGTGGCCACCACCAAACTCACACTGCTCTGCGCATCCCCTGCAACGACGTATCTATCTACAGGCTAGACGAAAACTAATCAACAGCTGATCATTACAGTAAGACAGAAAAAAAAATTATGTATACTAACAGTAATAATTCCACATAGAAAGGGTACTTCAGAACAGATATAAAGAGTTCCTTTAGGTATGGTATTAGAGTATATTTCAAACCTTCAAATTCTTTGGAGAAAGTCCTAGACAAAGTGAAAGATGTGACTCTAAAGATGACACAAAACACCTGTATGTATCAGATAAAATGTACGAATCGTGAGGTCAGTCATATTGGTGAAAGTTGTGGACAGCTGAAAATTGGAGTGAATGAACATAGGTTATGTATCAAACACCCACTACAGAATGAAGTTGGAATTTAAAAATTTGGGAAAGAGATCAGCAATAATAGTGCATACCACTGAAAGTGAACACAAGATTGATTTTGTCAATATTGACATTGTTAGTAAAGGTTATCCTTTTGACTACTTGAGATAGCGGTAGCTTGACAGACTAGCATTGATACTGGGTGATAATTGAAAATTTAGACTGCAGAAAGGTTTTTATTCACATCAAGAAAGACAAACATTGGTAGCTCTGCATATTTTAACGTCAACAAATGCTTCATACAGAAAGAAAGGAATAGACTTGTCATCTATCTGGCAGACTCTAACACGGCAAAACCCTTAAAAGGGTCACCGTTTCAAATTGAAAATTTAAAAAACAAACAAACAATATCGATAAGTTTTTTGAGTGAGTTGTGGAGATTTGGAAATATTTAAAGTTGTTATTCATCGTAGACTGACATCAGTTGGAGGAACAAAGGAAACCTGGGAGCACTGGACAGATGTTTCGTCCTAGTATGGGACTCCTCAGCAGTGCGCATCCACGACCCCGCCATGTCGATAAGTTATTATTCATGAATAGACTCATTTTTCATATTTTCATACAATAAACAACGAATTACACATACATTTTCCATAACGTTTACACACACACACACACACACAAACACTTTGATTATTGAATTATTTTGATGACAAGTTACAAAGACTGCACGAATTTACAATGACTAGTCAGAAATAATCAGTCTGAACAACAAGTCAGATAACCAATGGCGTAAAGACAGAAACACCTAGACGTACCATTTGACATTATATATTTTGACTCGGTGCTTAACTTCTTCCAGGACACTCGTAACAACTATGACCTAGATGTTTATAATCATACATATTTTGACAGAATAGGTATGTTTAGTAGTTCGATTAATCGAATTTCACCATACTTAAATAGGTCATTCAAACCGCGATCAAAAAATTGGATGTTTGTAGACATTTCTTAGCAGATATAAGCACGATTGCACGTGTATGCATGTGCTAAGTGGTGTTTCAGTCATGTTTGTGCATAAATAATTTGTGATAACTTTAATAAGATGATGTTGAGCTAAATAACTGATTTCTGAATGGTCAGTGAAGAGTTGAGTGTATCAAATAAAATTTGTTCGCACAGACGACATGAATAAATTGTCGAGGTTCACATTTAGTTATACTCATATTGCAATCGCCACAAACAACAGTTAACTATGCAGTACACCATGTGCTTTCTGACCTGCTTTATAATACTTATCTATTCATCAGTATGTGTGAATGCGAATAAGTTAAGTAAAATCAGCTTGAATCGAGATGGACTATTCACTGATTCTCGAGGATTTACAAAGTTATTTCGAGGCTTCAATTCCATCAGTAAAAGTTTTCCATGGTACAAGATACAGGCATTGAATAGAACACAAATGAGAATGTTTAAAGATTGGGGTATCAACGTAATTCGACTACAAGTAATGTGGAGTGGATTATTTCCAGCTCGATCAGTAATCAATTCTACATACTTGGATCAAATCGAGAAGATAATCAAGTTGTCTGGTGAACATGGAATTTACTTAATATTAGACATGCATCAAGATGTGTTATCATCTCGTTATGGCACATATGATGGTATTCCATTATGGCTAATTGATCAGTTCAAAAGACCACCAGCTTCCCTACAGTATCCTTGGCCATACAAGAGTCCTCCGGATTGTGAAATGTGTAATTATTTGACTTACGAATGTGCCAGTGCAGCGCAACAGTTATATGACAATGTATCGAGTTCCTGGAATCACTGGGGTGATTTCTGGGAGATAATAGCGAGACGATTCAAAGAGTTTTCAAATGTGCTCGGTTATGAGTTAATTAATGAGCCTCCACCGGGTAATTACTATGCCAATCCACTGTATGGTCTATCAGGTAAGCATAATACGAATTTATGAATTCAGCTTTCAGTCGATTTGCGTACACTTTCGTATTCGAAGCATACTGACCACTGACTTGACTGTATGTGCAAGAAGTCGGCTGAACACCTTACTGCGCCACCGAAACATTTGACATGAGAAGACCAGTTGTGTATTTTCTTCAACTGACATGCCAGATTTTCGTCATTCACATCAGTTAATTAGCACAATGTCTGACGTGATCTCGTTGAGGCTCTACTACCCTCAGTTTAATGCCAAGACGAGTGTTGAATATTCCCAGAATGGAATGAGTCGGTTATAAATTATTTCCTGAATTTCCATGATCGTTTGATGCTGCCATTCTGAGGTGTGATGCACTTTCAAATGTAAGCATTTTACCGAAGTGACGAATTTCGCTCAACAGCGTACTCATATGTTGTTCATGTTCATGTTCATCAACTATGTTTGAAATGACAATTAGTGTATCTTTACAGCATGATTCAATCTAGACTTTCTCACTGACAATCCTAAGCTCATACACTGAACGCAACCATTATATGTTTGCAACTGATCCACTCCAAGAATTTAAATGAGGCGAAGAAAATCGTCTTGATAACACCAACACAACGAATTCACTCAATCTGGTCGGTTTCATTTTACCTACAGATAATCAAATGTGGATAATTTGACAAGAATAAATATGACATGAACTGTTGCAGCGGTGATGAGTAAAAGCTGGGCGACAATGCAGCAGTGTAGTGTGAAGTGTTGATTGGGAAAATGACAAAGGAGTGATGGGAAAGAGGAGGTTGACATAGTGTGAAACGGATAGGTTGCAACCTTTTGACTGAGATGAGATGCACAAATCACAGTCGAACCAAAGTGATCTGTATATCGATCATTTTGAATGGAGAGACTGGCAAACTGACAAATGTCTATTTTGTGTGTTCCATGTCTGACAGGTTGTATGTAATTCACTTACCTGTTGACAGTGACTTCATGTCATACGATGTATTCTCAGGCAAATCAATGATGAGATTTTCTCGCCAGATCATCATGATATTCTGTAGTGAGATGTTCGCTTCTCAGATTTGAAATATGCGAGTAATTAATGTTATTGCTTGTAGTTTCCAGTCGTTGACTGGGTCGAATTGACCAATCTCTGTTGGCATATGGACTCGTTTGTGTATGCCTCTACTTTCATTTTGGTAGTAATGATGGATAATGGCCAGTAGTGGTATCCGGGAGATGAGTTTCATCCTATTTATATTCGAGACTTCGTGGTAACATCATCCCTCACTGAGAGGTAGGTGAATCTATCTGTTGAGTGCGAAATGGTAGGAAATGCGTGTGGTGGATTCCAGTGTAGCCACTATCCATCATCTTTGTGCGAGTATTTGTCGATGGATTTTTTCGAGTCAGTATTTATTAGTAGATGGTTCAGTTGTACAACGAATATTGTGTGTTCTGCTAAAGTTAACTATTGTGCTTTTTATGAGGTAACTAAGAAAAGCATGTCAACAGAATACAATGTGTATTCATGCCGATAGCATGAAAGTTATTGCGAATTAGTTACGTGAAATCCGAAGTGTCGTGCTTCTTTGTGTTCAATACACACAGTCATGATCATCCTGTTTAAATGAAAGGACTTTCTCTAACCTCATCGAAATATGTTCTTATTGTCGATAAATGTGGATTATTTGGAGAAGCATATTGGTTGAAGTACATTCTCGATAGTAGCCACATAACTGTGAGTTCTCATGAGAAACACACCACCGGCACAATCAGGCAATAAACAACCTGGGAAAATTATGTCCTATACTTAACATGGCATAAATCCCATGTCCCGTCACTTGACTCAGTTTGAACAGGTTAGAAGTTAAGTAGTTTTGTTGTTTTTCGCCTCAAACAACGTCAATCATTTAAGTTTCAACTCGGTTGACTGATGTTATAATGTCTAGTTATATGTGGGTGAGTGAAGATCAGCGTGAATCCACCTGGTTCGCACTTCTCAAAAGCATTGGTGGCTATGCCGAGGTTAACATGATCTTACTTCCTGCTTGAAATTTCTGATGGACAGCCTCTTGTTAATGCAGATTTAGTTGTTAACAGCTTGCAATTCAAACCTCTATTATTTATTCATTTGTTTACTACGGGTGAAAGAGAGTCAGCTATATCTTGCTTTACAAGTGCACATCAATAGACTTTTGTAGTAAGTCGACAGTGTTTTCAACACTCTACACTTCAGTTTCCAGAGCAGATTCATGATGGACAACAAAAGTTTATAGTGTGAACTTCTATGTTGGCGTTTGGTTCTGAAACGATTTGAGTTAAATGTGAAAGGTGCGGTATGTTACATTTTTCAGATTGTGGGTGTATATATTCTACTGCAGTTATTCCTAGTAGGGATTTATGTTTCTGTATCTAGAAGCAATAAAACATCCCAACGGTATCCTTATCGTTCATCTACAACTGAGATGAAACACAGAGGAGATAATGTGAAGTGGAAGGTGGATTTGATATTTCTCTTCCTATTCAGCTTATCCTTGGTCAGTCTCAGTCGTTTATTTTAGATTTCATGGAAATTCATTATTTTCTTCACACTCATACTCGGATAAGAGGTTTCCAGAACTGTGTCTATGACCCACTGGTACTCAATTTGTCAAGAACATTATTCAGCTTTGCGTACCCCACAAGCCTGTAAAAAGGCGAAATAATTTAGCTGACGACGAATCGGTTAAGACACAGAACAGGGAAGCTTACTTGATTTTCACAATCAAATTACGTTTGCCTGTGATTATATTAGATGTGATTCGCCTCTCATATTCTGCCGACTGCACTATATTTTACAACTCATCTTACAACCCATTTTACAACTCATTATTTCACAATCCGATTTATTTCATCGCCTCTTTTTTCAGTGTTTACTGATATCATTTTTTTGTTGTTCCTCTTCCTCTTGCTAGCTTTAACCTCTATACACCGATTTAAAGTTTTGTGACCTGGAGAGTTGCGTAGTAATGCTAGTTCTCATTTGGTTTCTGTCTGTCTAATACAGTGAACTTCTTGCACAGAAACTACCTATTTATCTTCAAGAGACATTTCACACACATGTATGTCTAATTGTCGAATGCAGTAGAACAGGAAATGTTTCATGATGTTAAGGGTTGAATAATCGTTGTGAAAAGCAGAGCAATATATTGTGACACATTTCAAGCCTGATACTCAGATCAAAATGCATCCCATATACAGGAGTGAAACTTGAGCACTGGTAGATCGTAATTTCATTTTAGCCAGTTGACTATAAATGTTATACAGGGAAAGAGTATCATTTACTGGATAACTTTCAGACATGTGATATGAATATGGACAATAAATTATGTCCGGAATGTCATCCAGTAAACGATACTGTTTCACTTTGTGACATTTATAATAAATAGGCTAAAGTGGAATGTATCCCACTTATCTCATAGAAAGCCAAAGTTCTCACCACTTTCTTTCAAACTGACTATCAGCGAGACATTTCAAAGATTTTTGTAAAATCAATGAGAATGTAAGCATATGAATCACTGAAGTACCCAGCCGGCATAGATGTATACTTGTAAATACCTCACCAATCACAGTTAATTTGACGCATCAGACGTAATTTTTTTCACAGAACTGGCAGTTATTCGCGCCTTCTAAATCAGATATTCAGAGTCATCAGAATTGCAGAACCTCTGAACATTTACTAGCTTATGATAAATGAGTGAGATCAAATTCACGTGGTCTGTGTGAATTGGATTCACTTGTAAACACTTTTGTAGTGAATTCTCCCGTCTCACACTTCACTCTTCCTGCTTTGGTTTGGCTGCAATGCCACACGATATTTGACTTCATCAAAGTGTAAATGGGCTTCAAATTTAAACGACCAAAATGACGAAGTTTGAGAGCGAATTACATGTATTTGGATCGAAATTCATAATAGCACATCACTTGTTGGTTGTCAGCGCTTACTAATAGAACGGTGTAGACTGATATGCACATCTTTAATTCTTATGTGTGCATCGATATTTACGACCTCAAAATAATTAAAGGATTCTGCTTTCTCATTACTTTCGTTAAAAAATTCCAGTGGATTAACAACATAGCAAATTATTTCCTCTTTTTTGATAAACATCTTCTATTTGATTACTCTTCACATTATTGTTTGGAAATGAATTTCGTTGGTAATTTGCGTTTCATCTAGATTCACTCTTCCACCCATCATTCTTCATCTAACTAACATCTATCAAAGTGCACGGTGATGTTGAGTCAACTAGCCTGGTGGTCATATTGCAAAATGATCGATAGAATTCGATCAGCACTTGGGACTAGATAACATGAAATTGGTTACTCTGCAGTGACCAATCAGTGTGCCTATCCAGTTGTAAAGGAGATAAGTTGCGGCTCGAATGGCTGAGTGGTAACACCTCTGATTGCAGCTCTGGGTGACGTGGGTTCAAGTCTCAGGTGAGGCATCAGTTCCTTAGAGATTGCAGATGCGCCTCTCTGACGAGTGCTGAAAAGTACTCGTTCATATGTTCTTCTTTTCAATTCCTTCCTATCTTTGTTTAATGAGTATTATATGATCGCATACTTTTTAGTCAGTTATTTACTCCTGCTATATCAGGTATTCAGTATCATAATGGTCGCAGAACTTCTGGACATTCATCAACTAATAATAAATAAGGGAGATCAAAGTCACATGTTCTGTGTGAACTTCATTCGCCTGTGAGCCATTTCACAGTGAATTCTGGCTTCTTACGCTTCCGTCCTACATGAATATGCTTTGACCAATGTCATCTTCAAAAATATATGTTTTAAAATAATCCCGTGTTAAAAACAAAACAGGATATTTCTAAACCCGCTGGGATACTAAAATATATTCTTAGAATAATTTATTCAGACTCGGTGCACAACTTCTTGCAGGACATTCGTTACAACTATGGTCTGGATATTCATAATATCTTCACCTAAACTGGCTTCCTATAGACTGTGAAAATATATGGCTAGTGGTGATGATTTACTTGTTTATAGCAGGACTGCTTAATGTTGCAGTGAGAAGCTGTGACCTGTTCTGCCTATAAATTGAAGAGTGAAGATAATCATTCACCGATGGTACCGGGTGGTGAACACGCATTGACTTGCGTATCAATTGAGGTTGAGAAAGCTAACCACTGGACATCGATCTAGTGGCTGGATGACAGCATGTCTGCTGCAATACTGTAGAGACCTCGGCTGTGTTAGACATGATCCACAATGAAATTCAAGCACTACTTCACAATGAAATCACCACTGAAGCTTCAAAATACAAGTCTACAAGCAACAAGACTTTCATGCATTATTACTCAGCTAAGGTGATGTGGGTGCTCCGTTCAAATTTCAATTTGAATACCGAAATACTGCACCGTATGAACCGGTTGCTAACTTACGTTTCCAATCTCATTGTTAGCCGAAGTCGGTTATCCTTAGGGAAGTGATCTGAGTTAGTTACACGGTTTTTAGGTGCTTTTCAGTGACAGGAATGGCCCTGAGTTGTTGTTTATTTGAGTGTAGCAATTATCTAACTGCTTTTATTTTGCTGCAGTGTCACACGATATTTGACTTCATCAAAATGTAAATGAGCTTGAAATTTATCATTCATATCTCGCCGTTCGACTAAGATTTGGGTTCAATGGAAGGACAATAGAAATACGAATGGTACTTCTCTGACTTCTCACGCCACACGCAGTGTTTTATTTTTCCTACAGTTGGCTAACTTGAATAAGTGTCCACGTTTTCAAACGCCAACTAGGTTTAAGTGACCGAGGTAAGGAATACTGAGATTGAATTACATGTACTTGAATTGAAATTGATTGTAGACCATCACATGTTAGTTGTCAGGCCATACTAATAGAACACTGTAGTCTGTTATGCACATCATAGTCTTTTTATGTACTAAGTGCTAATCTTCCCATATGTTTTGGTAGCTGAAATTAACGATGAATATAATTATTTAATTTATCAACTTTGTTATTTGTGACGATCCACTGGTGAGCAGTCATGCAAAATGAGTATACATTATTGGATTCGAAGACAGTACTCAGGAATCCTTTGGAAGAACATAGGGAGTAAGAGATTGTTGCTAATTATTGGAATACTTGTAAATCTCCGTTGTTTTATTGGGTCGAATTGTTCGACCTCTGTAGCATTGTGGATAACGCCTTGGCGCTTAAGCGATGGGTAAGGGGTTCGAGTCCCGGTGGGGACAACTTCACTCACTGGGTTGCAGGTACATCCGGCTGACGAGTCTCAAGTAGGACGAAACGTGTGTCTGGATTCCTCTGCTAGCTTAACCAACCAATTTACAGTAATAGATTGCTTGAAATAAACAACACATCTTTAGTATTTTCTCAGTCTACGATACCGCTGTTTATCAAACTTCTCATCCGTTTAATCGTTGCCTGCTCTGTGGATGAAGAGTTATCTTGTCCTGCATCACCTGAGGATTGAAATTTCTCGACGCTACTGAGGTATTCTTAGAAAGTTGCATAGTTGGTTGGGGCCAAGTATCAAGCGCAGATGCTGGTGTTTTCAATGACCGTTATGGCAGTTGGTGGGAATGCTGTCCTTGAGGTAGAGTGAGGTGAAGGATGTCAACGAAGGCATTGGGTGTGAGCTTCTTCTGTTTGCTTGGTGGTGGAGTTTGACGGTTCACCAGATAGGTTGCATGGTGTGCAAGATTTTACTAATCCCAGTTTGAGTTGAGAGGAAGATTTGCTAGCGATGAAACACATCAATCTTTTCGGATGTGCATTATCCAACATCGGTGAGGAGTCAGGAAGATAAATTCTGGTAACAAAGTTTATTGAGAGCAGACCATTTGCTATTGCTCAGAGGTCGATGTTGATAAACGTAGGTCAACCAACTAATATTAAACAATTAGCAAACGTTTCTTATCACCTGATTGTCACAGTAGCAGAGGTGGTACAGGCGGAGTAGAGGATTTCGTTGAAAGAGGAAATTGAAGACCTACAAAATGAGATAGCAACCCTGCACACAAACGCCACGAGAAAAGACGGATGTTTCCTTCTCGAGACGATGGGATATTGGCGCATAAAATTTTACATGTTGCGAAAAAGTAGCAATCCTGCGATTGTTGTGCGTGTTAATGCTCATTATTAACAATCAAGCTGACTAGGCTAATCGATAAAGGGTCTGTGTATACTCAAATTCAAGTAAACGCCCGGAACTGAGTTATTTAATCAATACAGGTGCATCAGTTTTTCTGAAGAATACCAGGGCATAAGGCCTCTATGATGTCAGGCTAGATCGTAGGGGGAGATGCATTAGAAATTGAATGTACATGCAGTTGTGCTATTGAATCAGGTCAAAACATTTACACTCATATTAAGCTACAACTGGTTTACAGTGAAACAAGGGACCAGAGTTTGGTGCAGTCATTGATAATAAGAATGGAAAGGTGATTCCGAAATATGGGCTCAAAGAAGAGTCGTTTAGATGGCCACTGGGGACTGGTTGGCCTCAGGTCGAATGAGGACCGTTTTCTCAAGGTTTGCGCGGATCACAACCTATTTCTAGCCAGCACCAACTTTTGACACAACCATCGTGCAGCTTGGCGTTCTCTCTCTCTGCCACTCAAGCATATAGGTAATATTGTAATAAGCTGCCGATGGCGTGGGTGCATACATATGGAGTACTTTGCTGAACTCTTATCATGCTTTAGTGTGTGCTAAGCTCGTCTTGGGTTTTGATGGTCATGAATACTGTCATCCCAAACAGGTCGATGCTAGCAAGTTGGCTGCACCTAACATCGCAGACAAATACCAATCCAAGCTGGATATAAGGCTAGCTACCGATCCTTCGGAAAGTGTAAACGAGCATTGGCAGCACTTCCAAGACACCATGAAAATGGTGGGTAATTCATCTTGGAGCTTGGAAGAACGTACCGCTAATAAACACTGGATCTCTGAGAGCTCCTTGTTACTTCTTGACGGAGCATTCCGACGGATGGCTAGTACGACAGTTCGCGTGTCTTTTACGAGAAAGAGTACAAAACACTCATGCAGGGACCGTGAGACCTGGCGTTCAGAACGCACGAGTGAGATGGAAGCAGCAATTGCATCTTATAATGGTCGGAAGCTGTTCCAGCTCATCCGAGACACTGGCAGCGAAATGGTCTGTGAAGTAGGTGGTACTGTGATAAACAATCTTCAGAAAGGCCTGGAATGTTGGACGGAGCACTTCGAAAGGCGGTTTAGCTGGCCCACGGCTCCAACATTGCCAGCTTCAGTGTATCGTGCTCCACGGTCAGTTAACATTGACCCACTTAACCAAGCCGGGCTCTACGCCTGTGAAACCTAACCTCTCATAGCTAAGGATATGCGACTACTCTGTGTTCGATCACCGTTGTCTCCGTAGGATTGCTCGTATCCGGTGACAACACCTTGTAAGTAATTCTGAGGTATGAGAGCGTGTTTGGGCATAATGAAGATTATTTACTATATGAAGTGATCCGGAAACATCGGCTTGGCCACGTATTACGTTTGTCGTCCCAACGGCTTCCACGCCATTCATTGGTTGCTAACCCTGGGACTAAATGGAAGAAGCGGAGAGGTGGTCCATTTATGACGAGCGATAAAGGATAGTTGTATCGGGTTAGCCTTTATTGGTGCATCACAACTCTCTAGGTGAGACCAAAGAGATGACGTAACTCGTTGGCTTGAGGCATTACTAGGCTCGAAACCGAAGCCAGTAGAGGTCATGCCTTAGCTTCCTTCTATCTTCTGCTGCTGAAAAGTAATGAATGTTTCCTTTCGAATGTACCTTACTGGAGTGCCCATCTAATCATTCTGTTCTTATTTTATCCACTTCCCTTCGCTTTATGTCTTCATTGTGTTGTTATATCATTTGGTGTGGCGAATTTCTTGGTGATCTTGCTGTACTACATTTGTGTTCTAGTGGTAATAATACGTGTAGTGCTAAGGGAATTGGATTAGGTTCGAAAAGGGCCAAGAATGAACAAACTGATGCGTGACTCTGACTCTTAGTCTGAACCGTGTAGCCTATCTGGTCTGGTCATTGAGATGATAGAAATCAATGATTGGAGATCCTTGGTGTTACGGGTGAAAATGAATTACAATGGTGCCTGTGTTCACACCTTGACGTCTTCCAAAGCTTGTATATTTCCGCTAACCTTCAATTCCAAATTCCTCCTACTTTCGTGCTCTTTTGTCTACCTTGAAGCTATTCCTTTTCTATCGTCTTGTTCTCTGTATGCACCACTTTTGTGACGCCTTTTAAGCCTAACCAATGTTTGCCTATACTTTCTGGAGGTTCAACAGCTAGTTTTGAATTTGGGTAAGTTTGAAATTTAGTTGCAGTACTCAGTGTAACCAATTCGGCTCAATCAAGGCTTCAGTGGAAGAGTGGACGCCACGCTGACCAACAGTTACGATTACACCGGATACCAAGGGGAGCTAAAAATAGGCTAGGATCTGAAAACAGCTTCAGCAGATACTAGTCATTATTAGATTTTTAACTGAAAACATTGGCTACCTAAACAATTTTCCCCTGAACCTAGACTTCCGAACAATACATTTAAATTCCTAGTCAGTACTGAAAACAGTATCTGTCGAACGCTTTCGCTAGAGTTCAAAAGACTGATGGCAGGAGCCATTTTTAACGGTATCCTGATGTGTAGTCAGTCAGTGTATGCACGAATCTATGACGAAGCGACGGCGTATTCTTTATCAGTTAGTTCTTACTTATATCGAATCTTCTAGCCTATCGGAACGAAATATAGAAAAAGGCAGAAAATTCCCCAA